ATGAACTTCTCCCTCTGTGTGTTATCATATGCCACTGTTTGCACTGTAGCACCATTAGCTGTTAACCGCCGGCTGAGCCCTCAACATGTTCAGAGCCGTGTGGAGGCAATAGAAAAGCTCTAAATTCCATATTTAGCACCTTTAAAAATACACCCAACACTACTATAGTTTAGTTATTGACCTGTCGTATTTCATTTGTTTAATCCATACACAAACAGAACATTAAAAACCCCAAATTGTGGTTTTTAGTTATGCTGGGCGTATTAAAAGACGGTCTAAAAATAGTGACAGCATGTCACTCCCTCTAAAACCACAAATTGCCTTTTTCTGTTTGTGTACGGATTAAAGAAACAAGATCCAGCATGTGAGAACAACAGCGGGCTTTAGAGATGTCGGTAAATGTACTTTTAAAGTCAGGACAAAGCCAGGCTAGCTGTTTCCCTTTGTGTCCCATCTTTATGCTAAGCTAAGCTAATTGCCTCCTGGCTGTAGTTTAGCTTCATACTTAATGAGCTTTATGTCAATCCTCTCATCTCACTCTAGGAAATAAAGTAAATAGGTGTACATCCTAAGATGTCAAACTATTCTTTCAAGCTCAAGTAAAATATGAATTAATTATTCATATTAAAAATTGAAAATGTTCATTTCCATGTTTAGATATTGAATTATATGCTTGACTGTAGACAAAGTTAACATTTTTGTATAACCTGCTGTTGACTGACTAAAGAATCTCAAGCTTACACCACTAATTTATTAGAAGTTTGACAGCTGAACATTATCTCAGGTTCCTCTAAAGGCATAGTCCTTTCCAGGACTCTTCTTATGAATCTACAGTTACATGTCATTTTCTTTCTGCATAGGAAACTATGGGACAAAAAATATCAGCTTTTAAAACCCATATTTGTGGAACTTTAATACAGGCTGCAGTAGTTGCTGCGTTGTTTTTGCTGTTGTCAGCTTTTGCAATATGAACATGTGAGACAGTATATCTGACATTTTTGTCACAAAGCAGTGCATTTATGTTTGTGGCATTTATGTACATATTTGATTCAGTACTTTTCTGTACATGTTCTCCATTCTGACCTCAGAGTTCTAACCACATGTCGTCGTTCGCAGGCGTTCCTGGTTCACAGCACAGAGGACAAGAGCACGACGCTGTCAGTACGCCTTCCTGATGATGAACAGGGGGCGCCGCCCGTATACAACCTGATGGTCAAACAACACAAGAAATGTGCGTGTTACACACTAATGCAAAGAGCTACTGTGGAAATACAAAATGCAAGATATGTGTGGCAGAGCACAGACAGCAGAGTGGTTGGTGATTCACTCTTGTGTTTGTTTTCTGTCACAGTGCTCCACTTAAATGGTTCCTCTCTGGTGTTTGATGACATCTTCAAATTAATCTCGTTCTACTGTGCCAGCAGGTAACACATATACTTGTGTACACACACACACACATATTATTAAACCTCCCTTCCTACACTTAATGCTGCTTTTTTTTTTTTTACTATCAAATCCACCCAAGGGACATTCTGGCCATCCCACTGAGGTTACCCAGCGCTATTACCACGGCAACTAAGAGAGAGGAGCTGGAGGTCATCTCTGCTATGGGTGCAGGTAGATAAATCTACATAATTAGCACATTGAAGTTAGGTCACTGCTGCTGCAAAGAGCTGGATACAGTAATGGAAGATGGAGGATAAAAGGAATCGCATCAATACAGCTACTCAGCAGAAATGTTTAAATGAAAATATATGTGAAGGACAACATGAATGAATATATACAGACACAGAATCATTTACCGATCTTCATGGGCATAAAAGGTTGCTTAGGTAGGTGCATTGTAAAGGAATTAATATGCATGTATTCAATTTTAACTGTCAAGATACTTTGGAATTTTGTTTGCGTTCTAGCCGAGAGTTAGAGTAATATCTTACCAAGATCTGTATCTTTCTGTTCAGTATGAAACTTTTCAAAGGTCAACAATGAACCATGAAGCTCAGTCAAACTGTAAACGAATGTTTTCATATAATATTCAATGTGAGACGGACGAGAGAGAAACATTTATAAAAATAAGGAAAGCAAATATCAAAAACCTGATAAAAGCCACTTTTTTGACACTGACTGCATGTGTTGCAGATTTCTGGATGTCCGATCTGAACCAACCGGCGAAGGACCAGGACCTGGCTTTGGATCAGAACCACAACAGACTGTACTTGTATGTCAACCCAGTCACTGTGGAGGAAAGCGCCAACAAAGACCTAAACCACTCCACTATCTCCAAACTTGATATCGTCACCGCCCAAAACCTTACCTCCTCCCTGCAGAATGGAGAAGTCTCACAGAAGACCAGCACAGAAGTCAAAGGTCAGGCCAAAACCACTCCCACCCAGGACATTAAATACAAGCGCCCCCCACCACGACCCCCCAGCCTGGGCTCAGGGTCTGGGATGGGCCTCCTCTTCTCCTCTCCCCCCTCGCTTCACACTTCACCTCCAGCAGCTGAGAGAAAAGAGGAAGGAAGGGGTGGAGCGGGCGAGAGAGAAGAGAGGAAGTCAATGTCAACATCACTCACTCCATCGAGGCCTCCTGTCCCCCTGCAGAGCCGAGCCGCTCCCTCGCTGCCTCCTGCACCTCTCCGTCGCACCTCCTCCAGGAGAAGCACTGACCGAGAGGTGGGAGAGGGGACGGAGCGAGAGAAGGGACAAAATCCTGCAAAGAGAACTGAGAGAGAGGAAGGAGGAGAGGAGAAAACGGGAAGTAAATCAGGTCAGCTGGATGAGGGGGTTGAACAACAGAACTGTAGCCAACCTCAAGAGAATGAGGTAAAACAGGACAGAGGAAAGAGAGAGACTGAGGATGAGAAGGAGGAAAGAGAGGTGAAAATGGATACAGAGGAGCAAAAACAAAAATCCAGCTCCCACTGTGCGCCACTAGTGAAAAAACCGTCCCGTCCAATCCCTCCGCCAAGGAAGAAACAGTGTCCCCCGGACGCACCTGTGTGCCCCAACCAGGCAGGAGGAGGATCAGCCAGTCAGACTGCTGGGATGAGAGTGCCTCCTCCCTCACCGGCGAGGCGTCCAGATGTGTCTCTGTACTCGCCACAGGGGGGTACTGTGCTGGTGACCGATCCAGACTCCTGCTCTACCAGCAGCACGGAGGAAGACGGAGAGCCGAACCAGGAACAGGAGCAAAACCAAAAGTAGGTCTGGGTAGGCTGGTGTAGAGAAACAAAGTCCTGGGCTCTGTTCAAAATCACATACTAACCTACTATTCATACTGACAAACTTTTCATACCAACCTACTATTCATATTCATACCAGCCTACTATTCATACTAATCTACTATTCATACTAAACTACTATTCATACGAACGTATTATTCATACTAGCCTACTATTCTTACTAATCTAGTATTCTTACTAATCTACTATTCATTCAAACCTACTATTCATACGAACTTACTATTTATACTAACCTAATATTCATACGAAGTTATTATTCATACTAACCTATTATTCATATTAGCCTACTATTCATTCAAACCTACTATTCATACTAATCTACTATTCATACTAGCCTACTATTCTTACTAATCTAGTATTCTTACTAATCTATTGTTCATTCAAACCTACTATGTATACTAAGCTACTATTCATACTAGACTACTATTTATAGTATGAATAGTAGTCTAGTATGAATAGTAGCTTAGTATGAATTTCACACTAAGCTACTATTCATACGAAGTATGACGTCAAATAATGTAAAGTCAGAGATTTAAGCGTGTTGTCCTTAGTAGTGTCTAATGCAGCCTCAATCTACTGTTAAATGCATTAAACATTAACTATTTATCTGTTTACTACAGCCGTTGTTTAAGATCAGTGTATTCACATCTCACATCAGAAAGTGTAGTGAATTGAACCAGTGTGTGACAAAGTATGACGTCTTAGCCTTTTTTTAACACATAGTTGAAACATGTTGGCCAAACCTGTTTACTCTTTAATAAAAGTACTAAACTATTGTAAACTGGCAAAAGGTCCAACTAACGGAGAGTAGGTTTCCAATTAAAATATCTGTGTAGTAAATGGATGATACATCTTTTTCTCGTACTAAATATTATTAATTAAAATATCAGTCTTAGTTAGGCTTTCACTTCGGTCAGGGGTTGGACTAAAACCTAAGTGTGTTTGTGTGGTGAAAGTCAGCTAGAAATCTTAGGTCCAAACAGTATTTCATATGAAGAATATATCTCTCTCTGTCTCTCTCTTTCTCGTGAGGTTTTTTTGGGAAGCCCAATAAAGTAAAGTTAAATCACAAGATTCCACTGCTACATTCACAGCCCAGAAACCACAAATACATACTGTAGTTAAGTACATGGCATGCAAAGCATCAGATTGCACGCGGTTGCTTGTTGTGTATTAAAACAGACAGGGACCTTCATCAAACGTTCCGAGCTATGCGTACTAATTCAACTCTGTGTAACACTTCCCCGCACCGGAGGTCTTAGACGAGTCACGAGTCACGCTGGACAGAAATCACTGAATCAAACGCCGTGGTGGAGAGAGTTAGCCATACTCGTCACACATAGAAAGGAGGAAGACTCACTTTACATGTCTTTTCCAGTCGCCCTGCAGAAAGCCGCAGCCCCAAGGCAGCGGTGAGGAGAACCCCCACCACTGTTATGTTGGACCGAGCTTGCTACCGCCTGTCCACCGTCATCACCGGCCTCATCAGCCACGACCGCCGCCTCACACAGCGCCTCGTGGAGCTGGCCAGGGACCCTCTGAGCTACTTCGGTAACTTGGTAAGTGCACACGGGGGAGAAAAAGATCTATTAAGGATTTTGGATTTCAACATTTAGCTGATTTGGATTTCTCTGGACAACAACAACAAATCTAAAATACAAATGGAATGAAGCTTTCATGTTTTGCATTCAGGTAAAAGAGCACCGCGCGTTCACCTTGGAGACCATGTTGAAGCACTCCTCCTCCACGGAGCTGTTACAGGAGATCAGACAAATGATGACTCAGCTGAAGAGTTACCTGCTGCAGAGCACGGAGCTGCGAGCCATGTTGGAGCCACAGCATCAGTATGCACAAGATAAACTGGGTAACTTTAAAACCTCTTTCAATTGATTTCTTAAAGTGTTGTGTCTGTGGGACCAGCTGTATGGGGAATATTGGAAAAATGTTGTGTCCTTTGTATATCTTACTTCTTTACATTGTCATTCTTGGCCTGTGAAAAGCAGTTGTCATGTCTTCTGTCGCTGCAAAATATAAGGGGTAATCTCAGTTTGGGTTTGTAAACTATGACATTTATAACAGAGCCTGTGTGACAGACGGCATTGTCGACAGGGACAATCTAAAGAAAAGATACTATTGAGTTGCATTGTGGGAAATGTAGGATCCTGCATTTATGGAGCTTGACCTGAAATTCAAGATATCTTGGCCCCTGCTGCTTCGAATTTCGACCATTCATTTTTTTTAATCTGTCTCTTGTGAGTCCCACTGGTTCATGGCAGTGCAATACTACAATCGCTGGAGTGTCACTTTAAAGAGCCTGAAGCTTTTTTAAGTACATAATGTCTTTAGCCCGTGATGAGGTGGATGAAAATAGAATTTATTAATTTAAAGCTGTTCAACATTGTCATAACTTCTAATTATCAATGTATCAGTTTATTCTAACACCTGTACAGTCTAATATAATCCAATAGAGCAAACCTGTAGTAGTTGGAGGTTTTGTGAAGCCATTACTTAGTGCTTAGTTTTTGTCGACACTGTGTCGCCGAAGGTGTTGATTCAACTACATGGTGATTTTCAAGAAGGCGAAATTAGCAAAATAGAAAATTAGAAACAGTTTGAAGTAATCGTCTATGTGTGTGTCCGTGCAGAGAGCATAGCAGAAGCTGCTCTGTGTAAGAGCGTACTGAAGCCACTGAGGGAGCCAATTTACCAGAGTCTGGAGAAGCTGCACACCAACGACGGCAGCCTGAAACAGCTGGCCCAGAACCAGGTAGGGCTGGACGGGATCACTCCCGCTGGAGACGACACACAGCCGCAGTACATGTGCAGTACATTTATATCCATACCAGTAGTAAGAGTTGTGATGCTGACTGTCTGTGTGTGTTGTTGTTGTGTGTGTCAGTCTGGCGTCCTAGGCAGCACCACCACGGCGTTGGGGATAACCACTGCCATCCCCGAGGCCTCTGCTATGGAGAAGATCAGCATCAAACTGAACAACCTCCATCTGGAGTATTCTCCCCAGAAAAAGATTGAGCTCATGCTGAAGGCCTGCAAGCTCATCTACGACTCCATGTCTGTCAGCAGTCCAGGTCAGACAGTCTTTAACCATTCGACCCTGAATGATATTCTAATATCACTATTGTTTTGTTACCAAAAAAAAAGTAAAACAGGAAGTAAACTTGCCAGCGTAGTCACCTTGATGTCACCCATTGGTTTGTGGACGATGGTATTGAAGCCTTGAGTTCTGCTTATTGGCCGTAGCCATCTTGGTTTTGACAGAGGGTGGAGCTAAGTAAAATCAAACACTGAATAAGACATTTCTAGGCAACCAAAATGTTACATTAACTTTCATGAACTGAAAACTCATTGTCAAAGGATTTAATTTGTAAGATAAAAAAAAGACAACTCACAGAGCAGACAACAACTTGGTAGAGACCTGTGTTATGGCCTGGCTCTAAAACCATAGCAAATGTCATGAAAACTCAGGCAAGGAGCTAACCAAACAACTACTTTTAATAAACAAAAAGGCCAGGACATTTCAAATGTGCAACAAAAATGAGCATTCTCGTAATGAATGCCAGAAGGTTCAACTACTGCAACACTGCTGCCAGACACTCCTTGCAGCACACCAGGTGTGTCAGAGGGGGAAGAAGCCAGCCCTTCCTCTGGATGGGGCGGGTCTTATAAGGCGAAGGCGGTGGCCAGCTGCCTCCAATCTTCTTGATGTCACTCTCCAACGATCCAGGACCCAGGGACACTGAAAGACACACAATCCCCGGCAGAGGCCCTGGGGCGTCACACCTGTCAATCCCAAGGTAGCCCCGCCCTAAAGCATATCCTGCTTTATGGTCTCTTTGACTCTAAATGGACCATCATTTACTAAATGAACATCATGCTGTATTGAAGAAGACTTGAAACTAGAGATTGAGACCATAAACTCATGTTTACAATGTTTACTGAAGTAATAAATCAAGAGAGAAGTAGAGTCATTTTCTCATAGACTTCTATACAACCAGAGGAGTAGCCCCCTGATGGACATTAGAGAGAATGCAAGTTCAAGGCAATTCCACATTGGCTTCATGCTGCATTCCATTTGAACTGCTTAATCGGAATTTCCGAGTTCCCAGTCGGAAATTTCAAGTGGAATACCCCCTGAAGTGGGAGATCCTGCTCAGTAAGTCAAACAAAGCTCAACAAACCTGACCTCAAAATCAAAGACTGCTGCTCCACGCATCAATAGTAAAGAGGCTGTAATTAATACTATTTATTAGCACTTCTGTCTCATTTGTGTCTCATTAAATCAGTCGTTCAGTCTGTGTGTAGTAGTACTGCTACTACTACTACTGCTACTGCTGCTGTCCAACTTTCATCTGTGGACATGTTGCTATAGTGTTTGTATGCCCAAAATACCAGCATTGTTATCAACTGGATGTAAAAGGCCGCAGGGAAAGCTAATGACTGGGCCTGAGACTCTGATTGGTGACTATGCCGTAAAAGATGTCAGATCATTGTGCAGCAAGAACACCAAAATACTCTGCTTTCCGAAAGATATGGTCTCTAACATGAGAGACAAAATCCTGGACATCGTGGCTGACCATTCCACCGTGAAAAACATCATCGTGCATACAGAAAGCTGTGATATTGTGAAACAACAGTCTGAAGTTGTGAAGCGAGACTTTATTGATCTGTTAAACACAGTCAGCTCTGTCAAGGCTGAGGTGTTTACAGTGGAGGAGATTCAGCAGGCTGTTTGCACCGAACAAATGGCTGTCAACTGCATGGACTGACCATTCAGTACATTTTATCAACAATTTCTACTTTTTCTGGGAGCGCAGACATCTTTTTAAGTCACATGGAGTTTGCCTGAACAAGTCAGGGGTAAACCTGTTTACCTCTAACCTATTTTTCTTCCTGCGTCACCCGTCTGTTCCCAAGGACAAGAGGAGTCTAAACAAGAGATAACCACACAGCATCGCCGAAGAGACCTTATGGGAAGGATGCCCCCGCCTAAGGAGAGCCAAGAGGAGGAGTCTCCAACCTCATCATCAGGGACCGCCTCCGATCACCCACTTTCTCCCCCCCTCCAAGAGAAGGAGTCTTTACCTCCCTCACCAGCACCTACTTCCACCCCCCAGACTCCATCCAGGTCCCCCTCCTCTCTATTCACACTCCCCCACAACCATCCTCTGTCTCCCCTACCTGATAAAGGCAATAATTGATATATTCTGGGTCCAGGCTACAAGGCTAATGACACCAATGATTCTCTCCAGGAAAAGTCAGGGCCCTGTATGCAGCGAGCCTTCTCAATTCCTGTCCTGATATTTATTTCAGAATAGAGAAAAGAGTGTTGGAAAGCTGAGCGCAGGTGGCGAAAAACAAATCTCCTGGTTCACTGTGACAAGGCAGTCCTTCTTCTCTGACATCATAACCAAAAACAATAACAATACACGCGCCTTATTTGCTACCGTCGACAGGCTAACAAACCCTCCAGTGTCAGTAGCTGCTGAGCTCCAATCCACCTGGGCATGCAATCAATTTGCCTCATTTTTTACTGACAAAATTCAGAAAATTTGACAAGCAGTCAGTGCCTCCACACCAACCACAGGATGTGTGTTGTCCCCATCTCTAAATAGCATCCATTCAAATATCATGACACAATTTCATTAAATCGACTTTAGAAGACATTATACAACATCTGAAGTCATCCTCCTGCTGCTTGGATATTCTACCAACACACTTTTTCAAAACTGCATGACCACTGATCTTTTACAAATTGTAGACACATCCCTTCTCTCAGGTGTCTTCCCACAAGCCCTAAAAACTGCAGTTATTAAACCACTTCTAAAGATGGCTAATTTAGACTCCGCAACAATGAAAAATTATAGGCCAATATCAAACCTCCCATTTTTAAGTAAAATAATTGAAAAAACGTTTTTTCAACAGCTGAACAACTTCTTGGCCGTAAATAACTGTTTTGATGTCTTCCAGTCAGGCTTTCGACAGCACCACAGTACTGAAACTGCTCTTGTTAAGGTTTTCAACGACATCCACTTAAACACAGACAATGGCAGAATTTCAGTCTTAGTATTACTGGATCTCAGTAAGAAAGACTAAAACTCTGGGTGGGACTCTCTGGCACAGCACTTAACTAGTTTGAATCCTACTTGAAGGACCGAGAATACTTTGCATCTGTAGCTAATTACACATCAGAGCTGACTAAAATGATGTGGTGTTCCCCAAGGTTCAATACCGGGGCCTCTTCTGTTCAAAATCTACATGCTTCCTCTAGCTCAGATTATGGAAAACAACAAAGTGTGTTATCATAATTATGCTGCCGACACACAAATCTACATAGCTATATCACCAGGGGACTATAATCCCATACAAGGGCTGGGTAACTGCATTGAACAAATCAACAACTGGTTGTGCCAGAATTTTCTTCAATTAAACAAAGGACGAACGATTGAAAGTCAGCGCTTAGCTTCAATCACTGATGTTAAAAACCACAAACCAAGCCAGAAATCTAGGTGTAGTTATGGATTCAGACCTCAACCTGAACAGCCATATCAAGACAATTACAAAATCAGCCTACAGGTGATACCTGAAGAATATATCAAGGATTAGAGGATTTATGTCTCAACAGGATTTGGAAAAACTTGTCCATGCATTTATCTTCAGTAGACTGGACTACTGTAACGGTGTGTTTACAGGTCTCTGTAAAAAGTCAATCAGAAAGCTGCAGCTGATTCAGAACGCTGCAGCTTGAGTCCTCACTAAGACCAAGAAAGTGGATCACATCACTCGAGTTCTGAGGTCTTTGCACTGGCTTCCTGTCCAACAAAGAATTGACTTTAAAATCCTGCTGTTGGCCTTTGTACAAAGGCAGCCAGCTGTGACTCGCACAGTAAAAAGATGGTCTGAGGAAGCCGAGGAGGCTCTGAAAGACTGTTTTGACTCTACTGTGTGGGAAGTATTCAGTGACGTCCATGGGGAGGACATTGACAGTCTCACTAACTGCATAACTGACTACATCAACTTCTGTGTGGAGAACACCGTACCCACCAGGACTGTACGGTGTTTTTCCAACTGCAAACCGTGGATCACTCCTGAAATAAAGGCCCTCCTCAAGGAGAAGAATATGGTCTTTAGATCAGGAAACAAGAAGGAGCTGAAGACTGTACAGAGGGAGCTGAGGAGGAAGATCGGGGAGGGGAAAAAAGTATACAGGACAAATATGGAGGACCAGCTGCAGCAGAACAACATCAGCGGGGTCTGGAAGGGCCTCAAGGCGATGTCTGGCTACAAGGGGCCCAACCAACGGCCTACAGGGGACCAAAAGTGGGTGAATGACTTGAACTTATTCTTTAACAGATTTGATCACTCATCCACCCCTTCCCCCTGCTGCTGCAACCTCCTTTGACTGCACCCCCTGTAGATTGCTTCAACAGCTTCATGCCGGTTGGGTTAACATCCCACCTGATGAAGACGCTAGAGAGGCTGGTCCTTGTCCATCTCCGCCCCCTAATGAGCTCATCTTTGGACCCACTACAGTTCGCATACCAATCTGGCATCGGGGTGGATGACGCTGTCATCTACCTGCTACACAGATGCCTTTCTCACCTGGAAAAGGCTGGAAGCACTGTGAGAGTCATGTTTTTTGATTTCTCCAGTGCCTTCAACACCATCCAGCCTCTGCTTCTGAGGGACAAGCTGGAGCAGACCGGGGTGGACCACCACCTCACTGCATGGATCTTGGACTATCTCACCAACCGTCCACAGTATGTGCGGATACGGGAGTCTGACCTGGTATCCTGCAGCACGGGGGCCCCACGGTTGTTCTAGCTCCATTCCTCTTCACCATCTACACCTCAGACTTTAAATACGACTCTGCCAACTGCCACCTGCAAAAGTTCTCCGACGACTCTGCAATCGTCGGCCTCATTTCTGCCGGCGATGACAGAGAATACAGAGAACTGAACCAGGACTTTATAGGATCGTGCCAGCAGAACCACCTCCAGATAAACTCTAGTAAAACCAAAGAGCTGGTGGTGGACTTCCGCCGGGGTAAACGCTCTCCTCCGGTACCAGGAAACGGACATTGAGATCGTGAGATCTTAGAAGTACTTGAACAATAAACTGGACTGGACTGACCACATACACGCACTCTATAAAAAGGGTCAGAACAGACTATCTGCTGAGGAGACTGAGGTATTTTGGAGTGCAGGGAGCACTCCTGAGGACCTTCTTTGACTCTGTGGTGGCATCAGCCATCTTCTATGGAGTGGTCTGCTGGGGCAGCAGCATCTCGGCAACAGGAAGAGACTGAACAAACTTGTCAAGTAGGCCAGCAGTGTGCTGGGGTGTCCACTGGATACGGTGGAGGTGGTGGGAGACAGGAGGATGATGGCTAAGCTATCATCCCTGATGAACAACACCTCTCACCCTATGCGGGACGCCCTGGCAGCTCTGTGCAGCTCCTTCAGCCACTGGCTGATTCACCCCCAGTGTGTGAAGGAGAGGTACCACAGGTCCTTCCTTCCTGCTGCTGTCAGGCTGCACAACCAGCTGTGCTCCCAGTAGACCAGACAACACCAAAAAATACTAAAAATCTGTGCAATAGAAACACACTGTGCAATAAAAATACCCTGTCTGTATATATAATATTTTAGTTCTTTAGTTATACTTAGTTACTGTGGATTTTGTACTTTTTGACTTAGTTGATATTCTTACTGTTTATTACTTTACTTATTTGTATTACTTGTTTTTTTACTCTGTATCTTGTGTGCACTGTCCACTTTGCTGCTGTGATCATGTGAATTTCCCAACTACGGGACTAATAAAGGATTATCTTATCTTAACAAATAATTGACTTTAAAATCCTGCTGTTGGTTTATAAAGCACTGAATGGTTTAGGGCCAACATACATCTCTGATCTGCTGCTACCTTATGAACCATCCCAACCCCTTAGGTCGTCTGGGACCGGTCTACTTTCTGTTCCCAGAGTCAGAACTAAACATGGAGATGCAGCATTCAGTTTTTCTGCTCCACATATCTGGAAAAAAGTCCCAGAAAGCTGCAGGTCTGCTGAGACCCTCAGCTCCTTTAAATCAAGATTGAAGACTTTTCTGTTTGCTGCTGCCTTTAATTCAACCAGATTAGTTTTATTAGGCCTCCTCAGGTGGCTTCGTTTTTTGACCCATAGCTAGGATTAAGCATTAGAGTACTCCTCTGGCTGTGACACTACATTCTTGCTGACACTCCATATACACAAATTATACAGCTCTTTCATTTTAATTGGAGCTAATGATTCAAATTGTGAGAATACTAGACTTAATTAAGAAAAATGTATTCATTGTTCTAATGCCGTGGCTTTTTGGGCCAGTGGGCATCACGTAAATTGTAATTCCAACTCCGGTAACTATGCCAAAGTCATCCCGCATGCCAACGCCGTTCCTCGGGGCTTGCCTTGTGGTGGCCTCAACTGGCTCAAGACAAAATCTTGAATGAAGGTAAACCCAATGTGGCGTTATCCTGTAATTGCCTGTAATTGTATGTGTTTAGGGCGGGCCCACGGCGCTGATGACTTCCTGCCTGTAATGATGTATGTCCTGGCTAGATCCAATCTGTCCGCGCTGCAGCTGGACGTTGAATACATGATGGAGTTGATGGACCCATCGTTGGCACTAGGAGAAGGTGCCCAGTAAACACTTCAAACTGTTTCTCCCCGTTGACGTGATCTGTGTTCATCACATTATTGATTGTGTCCTTGCGTGTGTGTGTGTGCGTGTGTGCAGGTTCCTATTATCTGACCACCACCTACGGTGCTCTGGAGCACATCAAGACTTTTGACCAGCAGAGGTCAGCAACACGGCAGCTCAGCAGAGAGGTTCAGGACTCCATCCACCGCTGGGAGAGACGACGCACACTCAACCAGGAACGCATGGCCCAAGGATCTGTGCGGGTACACTCACACTCACTCACTCACTCATGCCGCCAGTATTAGAATGTACTATGGCTCAAAGTATAATATGATTAGAATGCAGTATTCATTGACCGATATTTACAAATGAATAAACAGGAAAACGCACCGGTAGATGTGTGATGTATTGTGCTTGTATTCTGTCAGGGGAAAAAGCTGAAAACAAATCAGACGTCTCACACAGACTCCCCTAGAGAAACAAGCTGAGATGTTTCCATACAGATATCTCTCTGGAGCTTCCTGTGTATTTCTGTTGCACAGGACTTTCTGACGGTGTGTTGTCCAGAGATGGGAGGCAGTCCAAAAACTCTGGGTGTCCTCCCCACCACCACGATGCAGCAGCTAGCTGAGCAGTGTGCCGCACGCTTCGAACAAGGTAAATGTCTGGAAGAGGTTGTCGCATGTTGCTGAGAGACTGGGTTTTTACACTTTCATTTGTATTCTATTCAGCAGAATTCAGTTCCTGGCCTTATATAAAAGAACATGATTTTATTGTGTTATGCTCAAATCTAAAATGATGCAATTTGACAATGCACAAATTGGAGGACTTCCGAGAAACAAATAAAAAAAGAAAATAACTATCAACACTGATCTAGCAGAGGATGAGATATCCTGACTTCCTGACAAGCCCCAAAACTGCAGGATCCCACACTTCCCATAATACAACTCAGCACATCATCAGTGACAAAGCTGCTCCACAGTCACAGAAGACATGTAAATGTTATTGAACTGTTTTCACACGTTGCAGTTCCCCTTTAATTGTTTAAGTAACAAAAGTCAGTGTCACATAAGTTAACTTATGACCTCACGTGTGGTTAACTTACGTACGTAACTTAAGTTAGGTCACAAACATACTTATTTTAACCCAAACCATGATCTTTCCCTAAACCCAAGTATTTTTGGTGCCTAAAGCTAACCAAAGTGCGACTGCTTCACAACGTTAACCACTCGTTTAAAACTGCAACCGTTCCCTTAGAGGACGTGCTGATCTCCTGTCACCAGTAGGGGGCGCTTATTTAGGAAACGCTTGTGTGGGTCGCATTAGAAACGATATGTGGTCTATGGGTTGCAGGACTCATTAAAAGAAAAACCTTCCATTGTTGTCAAGCAGAGGTTGCAATCTCTGCCAGGTATCAAAATGATTGTTCAATTGTCAAACTACTTCAATTGTTACATTACCACGAATACTCAGCTCTAAAGACAAGTGATATTTGAGTGGTGTTTAAGGTTGCCAGTGTCAACAATTTGTTCTTGACTACAAGAGCGATATTATCACGTATCCCCTTACAGCGGTTCGTATGATATCTTACGAAAAAGTCACTCATTTTTCAAGTCCAGCAACACGTGTCTATTTCCGCTTGTTACATGGATAGTCTTTCCAAAATGAACTTCTGTAATCACAGGAAACAGTTTGGTGAGGTTCAGGAAAAAAACTACTTAGTTAGATTCAGGAAAAGATCATGGTTTGGGTTTAAATAACTACGGAAGTGGTGTTGCTTAAGTACCGCAGTTACGTGGCAAATAAATCAACGTTGACTTCTCGTTTCATACGGGGGAAACAACAACGGTCTCCTGGTTGAAAGACTGGTTTTTGTTTGACCCATCCACCACCCCTCCTGCCCACCCTGTGTGGGTTTCTGCAGTCTTTATACTTCCTGGTTCATGATTACGTGGATTACATACAAATGTATTTTGTGGGATATCTACGAATTATAGCGTATATTTATTTTCGTAGATATAGCTACGACCGCGGTATGAGAACAGCCTGTATCTACATTATCATCATTCTCTGGGTAACGTCATGCCTCCTTGTTTCCTTCTCCCAGACTCCTACATGCTCAGTGTGTACATGGATGGTGTTCACCAGCCCCTGGCTCCCACAGAGCTGGCCCTCAGTGTGAAGAACGGTTCCCAACCCGGAGCCTACTGCTTTGTCTACCACCCTGTTGACCAACCCGTCGAGCAGCCCCAGCCTGGACGTAGCTGCCCCACTGACCTGCCTCCAGCTCCCCCCGCAGAAAGCTTTTTCCCAGCTGACTTTGCAGCTGTGGACACCGTAGAGCCAGAGGCGCAAGAGGAGGAGGAAAGTCTGATTAGCTTGTAGCCGCTCCAGCATCACAGGGGCAGCAGCTTTATTGCCATGGTAACTACATCACTGTGGCGACGGCATTACTGTGGACAGTGTTGTTATCTCAGGTCTCACTTGAAATGTTGATCTAAGTGTAACTAAAATGAACACATGCAGGATGTCACAAAATATCGCATGCGATGAAGCATGTAGTATGACTCCTTTCTTTTGAAATTCATTTTAGATGCACCACCAAACAGAGCAGCGGCCGACTAAAATGACACAAAGACAAAAGAGATGACTGACATCTCAACATGGGGTCTGGAACCCCAGGGACTGCAGGAGGAAATGATTTTATAGAATGTTAAAAATGCATGTTATTCTAACATGCGCATATATGATCATGTTTCTACTGTTTCTACTCTACGATACTCGATGCTACTCTCTACTATGCTCAAGCCTGTCTACAGGGGTGGACTGCACGTTACTGATTATTGGTTCAGAAATTGGTTCTGTAACTTCTGTTGTGGGGGGTGTTACAGTAGCAGCTTTATGGACAAAAACTTTTAATGTCATTCCCAAATATCCAGCAAGCATCATCAAGTGTCATATCACATGTGTCTGTATACTAATACGGATTGAATTGTAAATAAACTGGCTTTTACAATTTTCCAATGATGTTTCTTGTTTAAGTTGACATTTCTAGACTAAAGGAGTACTCAACAATGTTTCTTCAGTGTATAATATCTCAGAAAGGGTTCCAATATCAAATAACAATTCACAAATGCTAGATCAGTTACAAAGCCATTAATAAAACCAACTTCTGGGTTGGTCTTCCTACACACTGGGGCGTTTATGAAAAATCATCCAACCAAATGAGACTTTAGGCGACTAGCTAGCCCCACCGGTCATGTAAAACCGCGTTTGTTGATCGTAGTAGCTAACAGGGCAATACGGACAGAGACCAAGATGTGCGTTTGGATATCTGTGGGCAAAAACTTTGTTTTCATTTCTAAATCAATGTGCCTGAGGTCTGATTCATTCAAGGGAAACTTTTCAAACGGCTCTGTGTCACTGCAGAGCAGGCAGCACAGCAGATGAACGTCAGCCGAATGATGCAAAGAATTGACTTTTGAGTTTTGCTCCGGCGCTGGTGACGTGGTGGGAGGCCGGGCGCCATTTATCTACACACTGCCCTCGCTGACACAGAGCCGGCTGTAAATCAGCAAAGTTTTCCTTTCTTCTAGGAGACAAGGGACTGTGTGACCTATCAACCCGGAACAAAAAAACCCAAAACAAGACAGCTGAGGCACCGCACTTCTGGGAGGCTACGCTAAACTAGCTTAACAAACAATAACTCTGCGCATGACGGTATGCTTCGTAATTAACGGACAATGCATATAGTCCAAATCTATATAATTAACACGATGACAACAAACTCACAAGAACCAGTCACATACAGTTGTGTGAAAAAGGCCACAGGGCCATGTAGGTTTGGATTTTTTTTCCCCCTTAATAATAAAAACCTTCATTTAAAAACTGCATTTTGTGTTTACTTGTGTTATCTTTGTCCAATATTTAAATTTGTTTGATGATCTGAAACATTTAAGTGTGACAAACATGCAAAAAAATAAGAAATCAGGAAGGGGGCAAACACTTTTTCACACAACTGTAACTCTTACAATAAGAGTTGCAGAGATCTCTTACAGTTTAGCATTCTGTGTGAGCTCAGCTCAATTACGATTACCAGAAGGGTAAGCTAAACTGTTAGTATTAGCATAACATTTTCTCTCCATCACTAAAACGCTTTGCTGATATTGTAGCTCGCTCGAGCCTCGAATCAGAGTTTGTAATCTTAAATATATGTGATACTGATTCTGGCACCCAACGACACAGCAATTGTGTAACTTAAGCAGACTACTTTGAGGTGATTCACCTCAGGGTAGTTTTTTTTAAATATCTGAAAAGACATTTCCCGGTCGTTTAAGATAGTTTTTTTTCCAGAATCTCTCCCATTCAGTGACTTAAAAAAACATAAAATAATAAATAACTATACAATATATAATCTCTTGTACACTACAGAAACAGAATGACTTATGCTGCATACACTTGTTAATATTTTGTTAATGAACAATGCATAATACATTTGTGTTATCGCTGTACAAAATGACAAAAAGACAAAAATTGTATTTTTGAAAACGTGATAAAGCAATCCTCTCGTCTTCCCTTTGTTTTGCATGATGTCGGCACTCAAAGGGTCTATTTTTGGACAGATGCAGAAACGAGAAACTGGTTTGATTCAAGCATACTTAACCCCTAATTAACCCCTGTTTGAAATGAACAGTATTCCATGCTGATGTCGGGGCTGTCAACAAACTTTAACATCAAAAATACTACTCAAGTTTCTCCAGGATTTGATCACTGATTAAATGACATTTCCAACTGATGAATGCAGTTCGGTTCGATGGGAGTTGACGGTGTGTCTGATGAGAATACAGGTGGTGTGAGGTGACACTACTTTGTATGCGACGCTTGTTATCCTCTGTAACATCAGTGTGTCGCACAGCCATTGTTAAGGCCAGCTGCGTCCTGTCTGCTGGTCATTATTTCCAGCAAGAGCCATAATGAGGTATTTAAATGGTAACAAGTTTCCTGTCTGCCGACAAACCTTTTCTCATCACCTTTTGTCTTGTTTCCATTTCAGTATTTTATACTTTCCCAGAGGCAACGTATCAAATACGCGGGTGCGAATGGACACATCCAATTTTCTTTTTCATCACTTCCTGTAAAGCTGATGTTTGGAGATGAGGGGTTTCTCAATACTGATATACTAACAAGGTGTCTATGTACAGCAGTGATGGCCGACTCTTCCACTAAAACAAGTGTCAACAAACTCTCTCAATAAATTGTAGATGCCATTCAGTATAACAAAGCCAGAGAACCTTTTTTTTTTTTAATGATTTGTCCAGGAAATGATAGCTACTGTACTACTTCAGAGGATCACATCGACAGATGCCTTTAGTCCACAGATGTTTTCACCAAGGTTGTCTTGGAGAAAATGGTAAGCCCGAGATGATGTATATGGACATGATAGCATCATTGTTGTGTCTACTAGATGCAGTGAACACATTTGGAGGATGACCTTCAAGTCTGTAACATTAGTTATTCCCAGTTAAAAAAACAATTGAGCCACACAGACCTTTGTATGTGCAATTAAGAATGGGGAAGTCCTGGAAAATTGCCATGCAATTGGTAACAAGCATGGATGAAGATGCTATCAGCCTGCCGTCAATGGGACGGATAGTTCACTCACTACAGATTGGTTGGGACAAAATAGCAATCCCCCCCAAACTGAAAAAGCAACTAAAATGTCCAACCAATGGCTCTAGTTTGGATCAGTATGCTGGTCCATCATATTATAGTGTGATTTCATATCTATGTCACTTTAAGAGGTGAAACATTTGATATTCCGAGGATTAATAAAGCAGCAAACAACTATTTGCTATGTAAAGATATAGTGGAGTGATGTCTACCTGAGCAGAGAATGAAGTTGCTCTCTTAGCTTAACATTTAACAGTACATAAACTTATCATGTCAGTATTTTTTAATAGTTTTGCTTTGATTATACTTGCAAATAAAAGTGTGTGATTGAGTATATTTTTTTCAGGATGCTGTGGTCATAAGAGCTTTTGACAAGTTGATCTAGGTTGAATTGTCTACTTTGATCCCCTGTCATCTAGCGCCATGTTTGGGTAAAAATTTATTTGGTCCAATACTGTACCTTGATTTATGACCAAATACCTAAAAACTAATAACCTCAGCTGTACATTGTGTTTAGTGCTCATTAGCATGCTAACACTTAAACTTATATTATACCCGCTAAACATCAACATGCTAGCATTGTTATTATGAGCATATGAGCATGCTAATGTTTAAGTGTAACTTCACCCTCAGGTCTGAGCTGATTAGGGACTGAATTTGATGACTGCGGTTCCTTTGCCTCACAAGTGACCACTTTCTGTAGCCAGTGTATCGTTAGCATTAAAAACATGGTGGAATTAGCAGGCTAATGTTAGTTAGCTAATTAGCCTGGTGCTAAAAGAAAAAACAAAAGAAAAAAGAAAAAAAAACTTCATCTACACACTCTTGTCACAACATAGGAAAGCACATTGTCATCACTACCACTCATTAACACTATAAACAACACATTTGAGTGTGCAGTTACTCTTTAATCTCAAGCATAGTCTCATGAGCCGCTAGCATGGTTGCAGATTATTTGCAGGCGTCAGACATTCAAAATCATCCCTGTGTTAAAGGGCAGGTGGACACGAAAATGACTCAAAATCAAAAAAATAAGTAACTGTAAGCTAAGAAGTTCAAACTAATAGTTGACAACATATCATGTCAGTCAAGTCAGTTCTTGCAGGTTAAATTTACTATTACATTATTTATTTCACATGATTTTGTTGACTATTCCATTATGGACATCATGTAAGATCATTCTCCCCAAGCCCACATCAATATATTTTTCTCTGCGTAGACGACAGTAATGCCTTAGTCTTTGAGCTGTTGTTCCAACCTGCCACAGAGTATGAATGAACACACTCGCTCGCACGCACGCACGCACGCACGCACGCACGCACGCACGCACGCACGCACGCACGCACACACGCACACACGCACACACACACACACACACACACACACACACACACACAATAATGAATAAGATCGTGGGCACTCCACAACAGCACCATGACTAAGTCTTTGAAACAGGACACTAACAAGCTAACTGCACTTCCACTAGGGCTGTCCTCTTGCACGCTAAACTCAATGTTGGTTTGATCTGGTGAAAGGTGTGTATGGTTGCGTATATGTGTGGGTGGGTTAGGGGGATGGGGGGTTAAAACACTCTAGTCCAGGGTATATAAGTATGTCCGGCAAGAAACCGATGCTTTTCAACCACCGTAGACCTGCGCGCGGCCACTTACAGAAGCAACTGGCAGAGCAAATGCACACAAAAAAGCGTAAATCCAAGTTTTTATACAAACTTCTTTCTATTCAGAGAATACAGGAGAAGAAATAAGTGGTAGATAGGAAGCAGCAACTAACAGAAAGTACCTAACTGCAAATACAGTCGTCATTTCAATCGCTGCGATCAGTTGTTCGTTCTGGAACATATCTCTGCTTATGTGACGCCTGACGTTTAACCTCTGAAGTTCAGCCTTGAGAGGCTCCTTGCTGGTACAGACAGACCAACACGTCCACTTGAGAAGCAGGTAAGAAATCAGCCAGACTACAAACAACTTTAACAAATCCCATAGCCAACGCCTTTGCATCAAGCTAATTTCTTAAGCTGTGTTGTATGTTAGTGTATTTTATTTTTCCCCCCACAAGAGGCTTAAGATAGTAGAAAAATTGTGTCTCATTGACTGTGACTGACCGAATTTGGCTCCAGCTGAGCACATACTAAATCTCAAAACAAAAGAGGATTTTAAAAGGCTGTTAGGTTAGGTTAATGAGTCTGTATTGGAGTGTTTCTCTAGTTTTTTTTATGAAAGGGTGCTCTCACTGAAATATTTTTTGAAAATCACAAATGTTGAAAAAACACACTGTGTCAAACATACGTTCTGAAATGGTTCTTTATAGCAGCACACAAGGGCGGTGTCAGTGTGCTTCAATCATTTCTGGCTCATTTCAGATTTAGACTTCCAAGTTGAATTTCAGTAGATTTTGGTTAATTGTAAAGACCTTGGATAGCTCTCCAAGTGAACATAGAAATTATGACATATTCAAAGCCTATTTTATTTTATTTCAAACATACTGTATTCTGAGTCTTAAAAAAACCAAGACATTGACCACAAGGTTTTTGCCTTTTTTTGGCATTATACAGAACCTTCTAATTTAAAGAATCACAATTTAAAAAGTAGCAACACGGTACTTGTATTGTAAAATATTTTAGTTTTATTCCACATTAAAAAGCATACTGATATGTATTAATGATGATGAAAATAGGTTTCTGTTTTTATGGTTTTGTATTATTTTGTTGTTAATTGGGTTTAAGATTGTAAATACACAACTCAGTTAATATGTAACTTGTATTGTCAAGGAAGCATCTTTTTTCCCCTTTTTTTTTAGGATGTCTGAGCTGCCTGCTTTCCCCCGTATGTCCTTCCTGTTGCTTTGCATTCTGGGTATGACCTTGGTGACATCTGGCTTCCCTCAGCCTCGACTACCTCTCAGGTGGGAAAATCACTCAATCTCATCAAGGTAGCAGAAAAATATGAGTGTTAATGGCACAGTGGTTTGGAGTGACTACGTACCATAATTACAGACCACTGAACTACCTAGATACCTAACTTTATATTTTCCTTTATACGTTGTACTTATTTTGATATGCCAATATACAATACAATCTAATATGTTTCTCAAGGAATCATTAAGTTTAATACGATCTGATTCCAGAAGTCCTGATGATTCAGAGGAATCTAAACGAGACGACTGGAATGTCCTCTTCCCCTCCATCTCTCTCCGTCATTGGAGCATTCAAATGACGTCAGCACCCAGCCTCAGAGCTGATAGCAAGGCAAGAATGATGAGGGAGGCGTGGCTGTTTACCCCTGAGAGGGCAGAGGCGAGGTAACTGCAGAGTGCGGGAAAACGTCCTATATTCATTCAAACTCAAAAACAAGCAGGCAATCGGCTCGAAGTCGTCGTCTATGACACGTTATACAATCTTGACAAAAACTAAATTAAACTCACTAAGCTGTCTGCCGGCGTAGCAGCAGCTGAGTGGTAGAGATGTACAGCAGTGTGTGCATTGGTAGCGCCGGTGTGTGCATTGGTAGCGCCGGTAGCTGTCAGCAGTTAGCCAAACACACCATGCAAAACAATCAAATTCTTTGTGTGTGGGTTTGGCAGCACTTTTAGCTGTCTATTCCTGTCCTTCCTTTGTTTGTGCCGACATCTGGTACAAGGCCTAAATTTGATGTCCTCCTTTATTTACTTAGTTAATATTTCATTCAACGGGCCATTTGAGTCGAGAGTTATATGAGAAGATTGATACCACTCTCAAATCTGTGCGTTATCTATGCAGTTCAAGCCAGAAGACGGTTAGCTTAGCGCAAAGACTGGAAACAGGGGTATTAAGTTCACTAATTAACATGTTATATCTTGTTTAATTCCCACAAAAACCGAAGTGTAAATTATGACAGTTATCTGTCCATTTCTTAGCAGGGGTGGATTCTGTTCACTTTGGACAGACCCAGGCTAGCAGTTTCCTTGTTTCCAGTCTTTATGCTAAGCTAGGCTAACCTTCTGCTGGATGTAGCTTTAAATTTAATGAGTGGTAATGATCCTCTCATCAAACTCTCGGAATGATAGCGAATATGGGTATTTCCCAAAATATCAACGGTATAGAAGAAGTGGACGTAGTCGGTGTTACGTCACCCATTGGTTTGTGGACTGCTTTCAAAGAAGCCTCAAGTTGAGTTGTCAGATTTAAATCCAATCCTTCTCATTTGATTGGACTGATAAAAAGTGGGTGGGCATAGAATTTAGCACAATCCCGATACAGAGTTTTAAACGACTGTGGCTCACACACCTTGCTTGTCGGCAAAGGTTGCATATTGATTGATGATTAGATCTCATGACATTACTGGTTGAAAATAGTTGGTACTAGCTTACTTAAGCACACTTCATATGTTACAGGAAGAAATGATTATTGGATTTTGATATAAAAATACAATAAATCGTTTCTTTGGTAATTCCTTTGTATATGTTGTTAAATAGGTGCACAATACGACCGGGGGAAGTGATCGAAAAAAAAAAGGCATTTTTAACTTCATCTTGATTTTAAAGTAAACAATTTCAATTTTCAATTCAAACTACAATTCAAATTGTCATGACAAAAACAAAAAGCAGCAGTACCATATTAAGTGTTGGAGACTGTTGGTACCTGGCGTGTTTTCTAGTCTCTGATTTTGAGCTCTGTTTCTCTAGTGTGGAGAGGGCGTGGCCTGCTGAATGGTCGTCTCAGGGTGCCGGCATGGTGAAGAGGAACATGGTTGTGGCTGATGACGCTGCCTTCAGAGAGAAGAGTAAACTCCTCACCTCCATGGAGAGACAGAAGTGGCTCAACTCCTACATGCAGAAACTACTGGTGGTTAATTCTTCATGATAATTTAGTCTTTACAGCCTGTTATTCAGAAAATCAAACCACCTCTCTGCATCCTGCACTGGCAAAAAGCTTTTTGAAGGGATACCCTAAGTCTCCGGTGGGTATTGCTCAGTCCATCAACTTATGAGACAAGAAAATATTGTAGACATCAAAAGTCATTAACACCTGCTGTATTATTAGTCTACCATCTTAACATTCGATTACTTTCTGTAGCACTTTCGAATATCTTACGATGCTGAAAGTTATTTGGTGTTATTCAATTTGATGAATAAAGAGATGCAAATTATGTTTTCAATGACTGTAGCTTATGTTTGGCTTAATTCAGTAGTACAGCTGAATTTAATACTAATGTTATTCTTTTTAATCAGCCATCTGTATTAAAGACATATTTAGCTTTCAAATAAATGTACAAAACAAATAGTAAAATAGAGGTTTAACATACTGGGAGGTACGCTGGTTTGCTTTCTTTCAGAGAGTGAGATAAGAAGATTGTTACCAATCTCATGTCTGAGTGTTAAGTACTGATCTGGAGTCAGGATGGGGTTAGCCTAGCTTAGCATTACATCTTAAAGAAAGGTGGAAGCAGCTCCGTCTAAAGTTCAGAAATCGTACCAGTACTTTCTATTATTACATTTCCGTTTATGTTTAGATTAAACAAAGGAGAAACATGTTAATTAATGACAATTTGAGGGTTTTTAGGTATTTTCTTCACTTTGGACAGAGCCAGGCTCTGCCCCTTCTTCCTGTTTACCCCTGCTTCCAGTTTTTTTGCTAAGCTAGGCTAATCATGTCCTAATTCCATCTCCTTACTTAACACACAAGTGTGTTTCCCAAAATGTCTTATACAATCCAGTTCTGAAACACTTTTTAATTCTATACTATATAATATTATTAATATTATGTTTGTGATGTAGGAATTTAATTGTATTCTGTTAGAATGCTAAAACATCTTCTGGCTTGAACTGCATAGTTAGCGCACAGATTTGAGAGTGGTATCAATCTTCTCATATAATTCTCGACTCAAATGGCCCGTTGAATGAAATTAACTAAGTAATGTTAGAATGTTTGTAAAACCCTTTGTTACTTTGTATTTTTTTTAAATGACATGACAAAGTTAGTCATTTTCACCTACAACAAATTAAAGTTGTTAAAAGCTTTTTTCTTTGTAAAAGAAGAAAATATCTGGTTTCCTTCCGAATGTCAAGTGAATCTTTGGCAAACTAAAAACATGAAAATCCATATTGTGTTTATTTCTGAATTAATAAATCAGCAGTTTGAGGATTAAATAAAAGTCTGTGGTGGTATTAACACCAGTTCGTCCAGCCTGCCAATCATGTCCTGCAGCTGCATCCTATTGGCCAGTCTCTGCCTGTCCCTCCTCTCCAGCAGCAGAGCCTCTGTCTGAAGAAGCAGCTGGGCAGCCTGAGATGCTGGGAGCTCGTCCGGAGTCTCGGCCCTGTCGCGGGTCCCCTCTGCTTGGTGGCTGCTGTGTCTGACTGGCCTCCCGGTCTGGAAACTTGCTCGGTAGACCTGAGGGAGGGAGGAGGGAAGCGGAGAGAGGCAAGAGGTGTCCGATCCACCCTGCCACCTCTCTCCTCCTTCTCCTCTGTCCTCAACATCCCCTCTGCCTCTCCTCTGTTCTTTCTGGGGCAACATACAGCACACAAATATCAAAACAAAACAAGAATAACAGTACGGTCAACAGTACAAAATGTTATGATAATATTAAACTTTGTGTCTGCCATATTTTCTTAAATATATGGTTCTATGGTGGAAGAAGTAGTTTAAGAGTGAGCTAAATTAGTCTCCCCAATCCTGACAATTGAGCCTTCGCTAAGCCCCGCCCCCCACTGCTAGTCCGTCAAACTGTCAGAGCTACGTTACCATGGAGCCCACACTGTCACTAACTGAACTCCCTGAGAATATTATGTAGTTTTGGGAAAAACAAAAAAGCGATTTCAGAGACAAGCAGACAAGAAGGGTCTACAACAGGGGTATTCAAGTAAATTTCCAAAAAGGTCGGGATTGAGAAAATCTCCTCGGGCAAAGTTCCGGAACATTACAATAAT